TCAGCTGAAATAATGCCCAGAGTACCCTATTTAAAGGCTTCCATGAAACACAATACTCTTTTTTCAGGACTTACCTTGGATAGTAATAATTAATTGTAAATTGAGAAACAGCTGTGGTTCTCCAAAACTAGAAAAACCTGATGCATGTACATTCTTAAAAGCAGTAGAAGAGGTGGGTGTCACAAACTTTGCTTTATGTTTCTTAACAATTTGCTATAAATGAAGTTATCAGTACCTAGTTGCAGAGTGGAAGGTTACGTAGATTTTTGATGGAGGCATGGATAGCCAGATAAACAAATAAACAGCATGGATTTCATGGAAGGGAGGTGGTTCTGTTATCTGATTGCAATTTTATGGTTAGTAGAAGGCTGGTCACCAATGATAAGTCCCAAAATGGATTAGTGTGCAGTTTCTTGCTATCTTTGTTTGTTATCTTAGATCCTTATCTTAACCCCCACCACCCCATTGCGAGTACAAAGTTTTTTAATATACTCTCAGTTAATGCTTTCTTATTGCAGCTTAAGCTTAAAATGGTAGGACTTTAAAAAAAATCTGTATAACTCAGTCTTAATTATTACCAGCAAGATGTTTACCAATGTGATGGGTAATACATGTATGAACTACAGCTCATATATTAAAAGAACATTTGAAAGAGATGTTTCCAGTTGCATTTGCAATGAGTAAAGAATCAGGCAAGAGTTATGCAAAATGAATTTATTTAAGTAATTATTTTTGTAAGGGTTGAGCATACATTGTTAGAGACAGAGATTGTTACATTTGAGTTATTGTACAGTATTTAAACTTGGATTATTATGCGCTTTGAGCCCAGCTACACTGACAAGCCATACCTTGCTAACTATGAGCAGCCTATGAAGGGAAACTATGGTTTGTTGTTGGGCTGTGAATTATGGGTTGTTCACCGTGGTTTGTTACCTCACTTGGGTTCAGACAACACAATAATGCACAGTTCAGCGGTAGCCAAATTTCAACACTAGACTATGGGTTATCATGTTGTCTGAACTCTGCCATTGTTTTCCTTCCACTCTCTGTCTCTGGTGTTCTACAGGAACTTTTTAGATATTTTTTCATTTGGTACTTTCTGTCTGTGTCACAGAGGTGTTTTCCTGCCTGCTGCCCCAATTAACCTATGTAGTTCTATATGCATTGATACAGAAGTATCTGTATCTCTGCAGAGAAAGATAGTTTCACCACCCTGCAGGATTGCTGTGAGGAAACTAATGAATCAAAGTCAAGGGAAGAAGACTACCTATTCCTAACTATGAAGAATTAATGTCTGAATTGTGTGTGGGGGG